TAAGAATTTCTTTAAGTATATTAAGGCTAAACAAAATGTTAGGATGGGGGTAGGATCCTTGAGGGATGATAAAGGAAGGCTCATATCTGATGATTATGAGATGGCAAGGTTATTAAATTCTGCTTTTTTTTTTTTCAAGTTTTACTAATGAAGATTCAAGCAGTATTCTTCATCTTGAACAGTTGATAGATGGAAAACAAGATCAAACAAGATAATCACAGTAATTCTGAGCTTGTTAAGAAAAAATGGGAAATTTAAAGAATGACAAGGCTATTGGGCCAGATAATATTTCCTCAAGGAGTTTGAATGAGGTTAAAGATTGGATATGTGAGCCACGTGCTACTGTTGGCTATAAGTTTTTGAATAGTAGGCACATGCCATAAAATTAAAAGTTGACGATTTTTACTCCTCTTTTCAAGAGAAGTAAAAAAAATTGTCCCAGTAATTGTAGTCCTATTAGTCTTGTATCAGTCGTGGGAAAAATTTTGAAAAGTATGATAAAAATTATTTACTAAGTTATTTAACAAAGTTTAGCATTTTATTGGATAGTCAACATGATTTCACTAAGGGAAAATCTTGCCTAACAAATTTTTTGACATTCTTTGAAAAAGTTAAAGCTTATGTAGATGAGGGTAGGGGTGTAGGTTTGGTGTATCTGGATTTTCAAAAAACATTTGACAAGGTGCTACATAGGCTTGTAAAAAAATTGTTTATAGGTGTGGAGGATAAGCTAGCTAACTGGATAGAAGAGTGGCTGGATGGAAGAAAGCAGAGGGTAGTTATAAATGGAGTTCAGTCAAACTGGATTAATGTCACAAGTGGGGTACCTCAGGGCTTAGTCTTAGGACCATTGTTTTTTTTTATTATTATTTATATCAATGATATAGATGAAGGAATAGTCAATAAAGTAATTAAATTTGCTGATGATATTAAGGTATTGGGTGTTGCTAGCTGTGAAGAGGATGCTGCTGATTTACAAAAGGATTGAGTGAGTTAGGCAAATAAATGGCAGATGGATTTTAATTATAATAAATACAAGATAATGCATTTGGGTTATCATAATTAGAATTATAAGTATAATTTGGATGGGAATAAACTTAACAGTGTTATGAAGGAAAGGGATCTTAGTGTAATAGTTGACCAGTCTCTAAAGCCATCCAAGCAGTGGCAGGGCATATAGGATTTAGGTTGTATCTACAGAAATAATGAATTTAAGTGTAAAGAGGTTAAAATTTCATTGTATAGGTCACTGGTTAGCAACATTTGAAGTATTGTGTTCAGTCTTGGGCTCCTTACCTTAGGAAGGACATTGAATTGTTGAAAAGGGTTCAGAGGAGGGTTACTAGAATGGTGCCTGGGATGGAAGGTTGTCATATGAGGAGAGGGTAAGATTTCTGAAATTGTTTTCTCTTGAAAAAAGAAGAGTTGGAGGGGATCTGATCTTTTTTCATACTTAATGGTGATAATGGTAGGACTAGGGAACACACATATGTAACTTTGGCAGAGTAAGAGTCATCTTCAGCTAAGTTTTATTTTTCTAACAGGGTGGTTGGCCTTTGGAACAGGTTGCCTTCAGATGTTGTGAAGGCAGAAAATATAAGTGAGTTTATGAGAAAGCTTGATAACTATGCGAATGATAAGGGCTGGCTTTAAGATTTTTTTATTTTACCTTTTATTTAATAGTTTTAGTTTAATTTAGAGTATGGAACATCCTAGATGAACCAATAAGTTCCTTGTTCTCTCTAAACATTGTTATAACAGTTAGTAGTAGTATTAATATCATAATAACAATTAGAAGTAGTATTAATATTACGATAACAATTAATTGTAGTATCAATATTACAACAACAATTAGTAGTAGTATTAATATCATAGTAATAATTAGTAGTAGTATTAATGTCATAGTAATAATTAGTAGTAGTATTAATGTCATAATAATAATTAGTAGTAGTATTAATACCATAATAACAATTAGTAGTAGTATTAATATCATAACAATTAGTAGT